GTAGTCGAAAAACTTAAAGCAGCGAGTACAGGCGCTCCAATGAGCCTGATATAGTATGATGACCTGGGTAACTGTACTCCAGCGATCTGATCAGTAAAGTCAGGGGATCCTTGTCCGATGGGTAAGACAGTCTCGGGTTCAAGTGATAGGTTGAAGCTTTGAAGCAGATTGAAGATTGTAGTGATAAAGAAATCGATAGAGAAAGATGTTATGAACCTGGCAGAGGTGGAAAAGGAAATGACGGCATTCACATTGATGATGTCGCCGCTCCACTTATGTTGCCGCTCCAGAGCTGATAAGCCTGTAGATAACAACTATGGAAACGATTCGAAGGCCTGAAGATGCGATGTATAAAAAATAGAAAAAGCAAATATAAATACTGCATATCTTTTCTACAAGTAGTCCTATGACTCAAAAACATGAGTCTGCTTGCGGCCTGGACTATTATGGTGACCAGCCATTTATTGGAATGTGGGGGATTCTGTCCCGAATCTCAATATACGCTTATAGTCTTAAGGAAAATCAATGCCTGTACAAAAACATCTATTTATAGACCATATACCCAAAGCAACGCCATTTATGCAATTGCTCATAATTTAGCAGAGACGGCACTTCCACCATCGAGCGTAATAGTCGCGCCGTTCACAAATGCACCGGCCCGGCTGCTCAAGAATAAGCAAGACCCGGCCACATCCTGCGGGGTTCCAATACGACCCAGAGGCACACCAGCTTTGATAACATCACCGAATGACTCCAAGGTAGCGGCCATCATCTTACTTTCGAAAGGACCGCAGGCCAAGGTATTAGAGCTGTAAGCCGAATTAGTTTCTCATACATTAAAGAGGCGCAAAGCACAGCAGATATACATACGTAACGTTTCGCTTGCCCAAATGGTTGGCAAGAACTCGGCTCAAGTGGTGCAAACCGGCCTTGCTGGAACTGTATGCGAATGTCTCGAGCGAGGGAACACGGAGTCCATCAATGCTGCCAATGTTGATAATGCGAGAAGGATCACCAGGTGTAGCCGCCTTCTCTAGGAGTGGTGTGACGAGCTGGGTAAGGTCGAAGACGCGGTGGAGATTGAGGGTGAGGACTCGTGTGAAGGCCTCGGACGGGTATTCGTCGTAGGGAGCGCCCCAGTTCGATCCGGAGTTGTTGACAAGGACGTGGAGCTCTAGAAGAAAGAGGTATGTTGTTAGAACTTATACGATTGACCATTGGATGGGATGCCATACTGCCTTCGCGCTTGCCCAACTCCTCGGCCAGCTTCTTCACATCCTCAAGCTTATAGAAATTGGCCGGAATGGCATAGGCTTTGCCCTTGCCCAGGGCATTGAGCTCCTTGGCTGCTTGCTCGCATGCCTTTGCATCGCGAGATGAGATGTAGACGGTGGCACCGTTTGTTACATAGCCCTCTGAGATCATGCGACCGATGCCTTTGGCTCCACCGGTGACCAGCACCACTTTGCCCTACAGGCGCGTTAGAATGGTCGAGAGGTAGAATACGTAGCGATCTAACCTTGACGTTGAAAAGACTTGCGGAATCCATTGTGAAATTGCGATTTAGACTGAATACATTAAAATGATCAAAGACAAGAGACTACCTTTATTACATCCGTCCCTCGTAAGCTTTCCTCGTTCCCCAGCTGCGCATAATACCCGAGGCCGAGATTACTTGAGCAGCCGAGGCATCCACGGACCTGGAATATCTTTGTACCGATGATTATGCACTAGTCCTCTTTGGTGCTCAACTTAGGGCTGCATCGTCAGGGTTTCGCGGGGTCTCTGCCTAGGTGATCGAGTTGTTTTGGCTGTTTTCGTTTGTAGCATATACCCCCATTGCAATAAACCTGTTAATTTTCGTGTTCGCCCCGTTATTCCATAATGGAGGACCTCCTGTCAAAACACCGCAAAGAGCAAAAAGATCTCCAAGGGCGGATAACACAAAAGAAAAAGTCCGCCACCAAGAAAACTCGCAAAGGAATCAACGATGAATGCGAACGATTGCAGCGCGATCTGTCTGAGAAACAGCAGGCTGAGATTGCAGAATTAAATGGAGACCCGACTGAAGGGCTCGAAGACCTCAGTCTAGAAGATGATCAACCGGCAGATGACGAAGAGTCGAAACAAGACAAAGCCACCGAGAAGCCACAAGAAGCAGAACCAACAGCCGAACCCGCACCGGAGCCTTCATCTGCACCCAACTCAAAAAAGCCAAATCGCCAAAAAGCGCGTTTAGCGCGGCGTGCAGCAGAGCAAGCCGCCCAATCAGCGGCTGCAGCAGAGGAAGCCGCGACACAAACAAACTACCGAGGAAATGAACAGGAGGTCATGGACGCTGCATTTAAGAAATTGGGTCTCAAGGAAGTAGAAGTGACTGCAGATGGACACTGCCTCTACTCAGCAGTCGCCAAACAGCTCGATGAGTCTGGACTCGGCTTGCGGCCGGACCCAAGCCGAATTGTCCTCCAGCCTGCGACACAGTCACGCATCGACACAGTCGCCTCTCCACAACACGACGGCTACCGAGCTGTTCGAGCCGTGACGGCGGATTTCATTATGGAACATAAAGAGGATTTCGAGGCGTTCATGGAAGAGCCCCTCGAGTCATACACTCGGAAGATCAAATTGACTGCCGAGTGGGGAGGGCAGTTGGAGCTGCAAGCAATTGCCCGAGCATACGGTGTGGAAATCAACATTGTACAGAAGGATGGGCGCATGGAGAAGATCGAGCCCGGGGACAGCGACAGCTTCGACGAGGAGGAGAAGCGCAAACGCGTTATCTGGCTTGCGTACTACCGCCACACCTACGGACTCGGCGAACACTATAATGCCCTCGTGAAGAAATCCTAAGCTACTCAGATCGACGCAATCTCATTCCCACCTGGGCCTTGTCAATCAAGGCTTGACTATGCAATTGCAGATCTATTTTTTGTCTTGGGACTTTTTTGCTAGGTGCTTTTCGGCTTTTCGGCAGATCTAGTTACGACGACGCCAGATCGAGACTCGGTCGTGGATCACCCCGTTCTCGCCTTGGCCTACCTCGTGCGTGCGCTCTGGCGTCCAATATGCCACTCTTTCCAGACCGGCTTTGCTCGGTGCCCGTAGAGGCTCATGCTTGACGACGCCCTTGGCGTCGTAGGGGACCTCTTCGCCGGGGTGGCTTAGGTGTGCCATGTACGCCTCCGATGAGGAAGCAAATGGCGGCCCTGCGGCTTGGGGGTCCTTGTGACGGGGGAACTCGAGGCAGATCAAGTTGCCTGCTGGCGAAGGGGCCAGAAGCTGGGTGTGTCGGAGCGCCCATTTGGGTCTCATTGACGGCTCCAGGGCACAGAAGAACTGCATGATGGTTAGCGTGAGAACAGTGAACATAGAAACTTGAGATATAGACAAAAGCAGATACAGCATCCGTTATCAAATCACTTGTCTCTATTCCCGCATTGCGATGGATTTCACACCCAAGCAGCAACACAAGGGACAAAAGGGAAACCATACCGTATAATCATAAATAATATCAAATCCATTCAGTGGGACACCAATCTTATGCAACCAAGCATCATCGAAAAAGTCACCCTGAATCCAAGTAACCTTTCCGGCGCCAATAGTCTCATCCCGGACGCGATACCAATTGGCGTTGTCATTCTCTTCCTTCTTGCAAGCCTCGACCGCAGCTGCGCTGTACTCGAGACCATAGGCGTCATAGCCAAAGCTTGCCAGCAAGAGCACATCCACACCTCTCCCGCAACCAGGAACGAGAGCCTTCCGCCTGTACGACTTGCCCTGTGCGTCGGTCGCGACAGGCGCGCCAATTGTGGAGCGCTGGTTGACGAGGGTGTCTTCCAAGGCGGGATTGGGGAATCCCCGATCCCAGGGCAGATTATCGCCCTTGTCCCAGAGGGAAGCCCAGCCGTCGACGTATTTGTCGCCCTTGTATTGAGCCAGGTGGGCTTGCATTGCCTTTGGGTTGATATTGGCCATTGAGACGGTTATGTTGGGTTTCTCGATATTGTTTCAATTGTTTCTCGGTCTTGATTCCTAGGTGTTGAAGCGGATGCGGTCAAGTTTCTTAGTTCACCGTCTTTATGCCATTATCTCGGGGATCCATTCCAGATCTACCGGGATTATTAATCACCTCCTTGCAGCTCTTGAGGTCCACCTGGTTTGAATGTATGACTAGGTGGCGTATAAATAGAGATGTTTCTGGATCGTTCGAACTATTTTGTTGGGGTAGATCTGGGCAATGGTAGCAAGTCCGCTAGATCTACCCTACAGTATAATAGTCCCACCACCTACCACAGTGATAAGTAGGTCACTAGTGAAACACCAGGACTTGATGGATGTATCTGTTGAGATAGTTCGCCAAGATAACGGGGAAGCAGAGGTAGGTACCAACCCAGAAAGCCAAGTTAAAACCGTGGAAGTCAATCGCGACCGACATACTTCTTGCTATCAAAATATATCAGATGTTCTACAGAACATCTACGGAGTTGGATATCTTGAAGTCTATAATCTCGGGATGGGCCGCCATCAGGTCTGCCGACGGAAAACCGGCACAATCGCCCTGAACGATGACTGGCTCTATAAGCCGACCTATATTTTTTATAGGATAGAATGTGCACTAGCGCTGTCGGATAATAATCCGGTGAAGTCTTCCAAGGTTGCTCTGGGTTGAGATTAATATTATCAGTTACACTCGGTCTCTGTCGGTGCTTGTCGGTCGAAAAAAAAATTGAATGTTTAAACAAGTTCTGAACTTTTCTAACAATTTTTTTTTCTGAGACCACATCCAACATTGAATACATTCACATTCTACATGTTTGGAGATATTATATATTAGGGGGATAGATCGACACTCTTTGCAAGGAAGGTGCCCAGGTGGTTATCTGCAGGGCTGTTTTTACCCAACTTGTCTTTACTCTTGTAAAGCTTCACCTTATTTTTGGACCAAGAGCTATTTTTATGTCGCTGGCAAAAATTAGCATTTATCACATACTTCCAATATGCAAGGCCAGTCTGGGTTAGACAGCATCGTCGCATCAGAGAGCGGAGAACATCCGACAATCATAGCCGAGAACAAGTCAGAGATCGAGAATGATACACATTCCTTATCGGATGCCTCCAGCAATACTGCCGAAGAACATGAGGATCCAGAAAATCCTCCACCTCTAGAGCGCCAGTTGACCGAGCTAGGTCCTCCCGTAAAGGTCGCCCGACTCAAGCGCAGAGGGTTGTTCGGTCAGTTGGCATTGGTGGCAGAAGTTGAAAATCCGAAGACATATCCTCGCAAAACGAAATGGTTCATCACATTTGTCGTCGCGCTTGCTGGAGCCACAGCACCAATGGGCAGCGCCGTCTTTCTCCGTGAGTCTCTAATCACAAATTGGGTATACATTCGATCATTCTCTAATCAAGATTCTACCAGCTTCACTATCACAAGTAACCGAGGACTTGAATACAACAACCACCATCACTAATCTGTCAATCGCTTTGTATATGCTGGCTATGTCTATATTTCCATTGTGGTGGTCATCATTCAGCGAACGACTTGGACGACGGACTGTTTACCTCGCTTCTTTTGCTCTATTTGTGGTCTTTAACTGCCTTTGCGCTATCTCAAATTCCATCGCCATGCTGATTGTAATGCGCATGTTGAGTGGTGGCGCTGCTGCTTCTGTCCAGGCGGTTGGTGCTGGCACCATCGCCGATATCTGGGAATCCAGGGAGCGAGGACGGGCCATGGGTATCTTTTATCTAGGTCCGTTATGTGGGCCTTTGTTTGCACCCATTATCGGTGGACTCCTAGCTCAGCGCTGGGGATGGCGGAGTACCATGTGGTTCCTCTCTGCATTTGGTGCGCTCACTCTTATATTTATCTTGTTCGCCCTTCCTGAGACGTTGATGGCGCAAAAGCCCGTTTTGGCTGAATTTGAGGACGACGAAGATCCAGCTACCAGCCGCCCGTTGAGTCGAGTCTCATCGCAGCAGGTTGTTCGGTCCACTGCAAGGTGGCTCAAGACAATGAAGATAATCTTCATTGATCCGCTCAAAATCATTCTCTATCTCCGGTTCCTCCCCGTCCTTCTCTCTGTCTACTATGCTAGTATTGCCTTTGGTTCCCTCTATGTCCTCAATATCAGTGTTGAGCATACCTTCGCAGAGGCGCCATACAACTTCTCCACCATCATCGTTGGCTTGCTGTACATTCCAAACTCGCTGGGCTACATGGTGACCAGTATCTTTGGAGGTAAATGGATGGACAGCATCATGCAACGGGAAGCGAAGAAGGCAAATCGATATGACGAGAAAGGCAGACTGATACTAAGACCAGAAGACCGAATGCGTGAGAACGCATGGCTTGGTGCCTTCCTATACCCAGCAGCTCTCATCTGGTACGGTTGGGCAGCGGAGAAGGGAGTGTTTTGGCTTGTCCCGGTATGTCAACTCCCAATATATTCCCCAGGATACGTACATGAGTATCACTAGCTAACTCCGATCTAACAGATGATTGCCAATTTCTTCTTTGGTATGGGCTCCATGCTCATTTTCAGTATGGTAACCACCATGCTCACCGAATTCATGCCAAAAAGGTCCTCGGAAGGTGTAGCTCTCAACAACTTCATGCGAAATATCTTCTCCTGCATCGGCTCCGTCGTCACTGCTCCGATCATTGATGCTATCGGCAATGGATGGCTGTTTACCATCCTTGGCCTTGTCAGTTTCGCAAGCAGTGCCGTCATTTTCCTGATGAGAGTCAACGGCCCTAAGTGGAGAAAGACTATGGATGTGCACCTGCAGACTTAGATTGTTCTTGTTCCACATTACTTGATTGCATACTATCCCCGGCGTTGGTGCATATTTTTATATTGATTTCTGGAAAGGTGCCTGGCATACCATACAGATTTGGTGTCAGTAACCTGTCTCTCTTTGCACATACATCTCACCAAAACAAAATATCCATACCCGATTGTGTCTTTTTGTTCATGCTGTGCCGCTTTCCGGTCTTTCTGTTCTTGTTTATTCTTTCTTCAACCCGGCTGTTTCCTTCAGGATCCAGATATGTCTAATGCCCAGAATGATACCCATTGTGAAGTGAGATTTATGTCGCAAGAGCCCAAATCCGCCCTTAGCGGACCACAACGTATACAAGTAGAAGCATCTAGAACGGCTGCATCAATATATGCCCTGCCGGTATCAACCATGTCTACATCATCTCTCGGTCTGCGCAGTCGGGCAGGTAAGCATATCCATTTGCGCGACTCAAGTGCATACTTATCTATGTTAGACTGGATCTCTACGAAAAATGTTTCACATGTCCCGCTTATATGCGAATTCCAATATGACGGGGTTATCTCATGGGATACCCCTCGAATTTTGAGAAGTACGCTTCTCTGAGGGGCATTCAAGCCGTGTCCTGGTAATTGCATATGCCAAGCTGCTACGTATAAGGTCTCACATATCTGTGTTATCGTGCATAGTATCTAGGCCTAACTACATTATACTACCAGTATTAGTCGGCGGCAGCATGTTTTAGTCGAAAAGGCGGGTTTTACAATTATCGGGGGCAATCTATCACGTCCTTTACGTAGATGCCCCTCAATTTCTACTCCGTAGTATAGAAAAAGGGGTATAGATCTGATCAGGCCTGCACGTATTAACTCACCTGCATGAAAAAAAAGCAAGGCAGCCAATCAGAGATCCATCACGCCATGTTCTTGAACAGCCAACACTTCTGGCGAACATTCGATGCATCCGTGAGGGGAAGGGAAGATCCGGCGAGATAACGGAGGGGATGTGCTTGATTTACCAGGGTTTACTGGACAATAGATGTATTTTCAAAGCGATGTTGTTTTTCATTACTCCGTACTCCGTACTCACCAACTAAACCCTCCGATGCTAGTTTTTCTTTTCTTTTTCTCAAAGGATCACTAGTAGATCCGATGCCGGCAATATGCCTATACTCAACCTATCCATTCCCTAGTTTGGTCTCAAATATAAGACTGAAAGTCTGTTTTATCCGATCGGCATATTCCTAATGCAAGATAAAGGAACAGCTTGGCAAAAATTAATGATGTTTATGCCCACCAGAGTGTAAAAGTATAGAAGTCCAACGTATTCAAAAACAATCCAAGAATCCTGGCCCGATCCTTAGAATAGAAACTAAGTCAATGTCCAATGTTTACAAATGAGACGGGTTTACCCCGAGGACAGCCATTTGTTAATACGCAACACGGCATGGATGCTCGGCCCGGTGCATGGAGTTGGGTACATAGAGAATCCCATCTGGTAAATCCACTGGACTTGTATCAGGAAGTACAACATATCCGGAATGGCACGAAAAACCAGCGCCGAGGTGATTCGCTAGAAAAGCGAAAAGCGGCCTGGGTATGCATGCAGCTCTTTTGAGACTCGAGTGTTGGCTTCTGTACCTATCTATACCCTTAGGTACATTAGGTCAAATTGAACACATATGCCATTTTGAAGAGGATCCCAGTGACGAAGCTGTAGGACGACACATCAGTCAGATAACCGTGGGGTCTGTTAGTGCGTGGACCAAGTTGCAGGAATTGGCGTGTTGTTCTAGGAGTGGTTGGTATTGACGCGAAGATCGCATAATGATCGGCTGTACTCCTTACTCGTTATAGGTGGAATTAAAATAGAATATCGAATGCTTCGTATAGCAAGGAGAACTGGATGTCTCCCATGTGCAATAATATCACCTGACGAAAAAACTCCGTGTTTCGCCGTTTCTCTCTCTTACACTTCGCAGATTGCAGTACACAGTGTTTTAACTGCATATTACATCACTATTCCAACTGCTCCCTTACAGTTGAGTATCACAGAATAATGACAATTACAATTGACTCTGAAGTGTCGGTGTCGTGTCTGTCTAAAGTGGAGATTCAACTATCCACCAACTCCATCAGCTCCAACTTCATCCCCAGCCCCCCATTTCACCGTTGCAGTTTGATTCAATACAAATTTTTTGCTAGAAGTCCCAATATTTGCCCCCCGAAAGCACCGAATCCATTTCGAGGTTAATTATCTTGGTCTCCCCACCGGTGTACGCCATGCATCCTATTTGCCGCCTTTACCGGACGTTGGGCAGAAATGGGCCTGCATCACCTTCTGCGTCGCCCATCGATTTACCTACTGAAACATTGCCTTGGCTTCGTGTACTACGAAGTTCCTTTGGGCCAATTCATTTTCTCTATGTGTTTGCGTGTAGTATCCAGGCCCAAAACTAAGAAAAAAAAACCAAGTCAAACCAATTCAATTCAATTCATTCGTGGCATCCACCCCACTTCAACAGACCCAGTTACTCCATACTACTGCAGCACTACCTTTCCTATCTTGACCGATGTGCCCCCCAATCCCCAATCCCATGTCACCATTTACTGCTTGGTGCTGCACCTATTCCTGCGGGTGGGGATCCTGCTGCTCTCACCCGGCCCTAAACAAGCAGCGGACCTCACTAACCTCATGCCGGCCCTGGAGATGGAGACCCGATGACCGACGTGGCCCAATGACAATTAACTCCATCGGGCAGGTTCATTAGTGACGTTCAGGGCCCAAGACCGTAATGCACTTTGTTGTCGTCCCATCCGACCGCATTGGAGACGAACTATTATACGCTGCCTCACCATGATTGTCCAATGCGACCTCTGTGTCACCAGAGAAACAAGCATATCCTTCCTTTCCCTTTTAGTACTCTAATACAGGAGAGTACCCTGCCCAGTTTCACACTCCAATTGTCCATACTTTGTATCTTTTGTTCCTCGAATTCCCTTGCCGCCCCATTCTTTTTCCGTGCATCCAGCCCGACGAGCCGGCTTGTCACTTTCCTATTGTTCCGATTTTCGTCACATCACGCGCCAGTCAGCCTCGCCCAGGCTTCGATATATGATACGTCATTGACCCAGGATCATGGCTGGTAAGAAGAAGAGTAAGGCCAAGAACAATAAAAACAATCGCGCTCCCGTCGGTTCTGCACCCCCTGAATCGAAGAATAAAGACCTCGTCGACTCTGCCCCGGACCCGGCGGCGGCCGCTGTTGAGGATGTCTTACAAGTATGCCGAACTCCCTCAGTACTCATATCAAACGGTCCAACGTCAATATTCGACCTTTGATTATGAAACTAAATCTTTCCAATTCTACCCTGTCACCTATTCAGCGACCGATCTGACCGAGGGCCAAAACCAGGACAACAATGAGCCCACCGCCGAACCGGAGAAGGACCCTGCCTCTGAAGATCCCCCTGCTGCTGAGCCAAGTGGCGATGATAGTCCACCCGCTGAGCCCACAGGTAAGTACATGTTTCTATAGACGATGAATCTATCGAGAAATTCCATGTTCTACTTTTTGTACTTGATATTAACATAAAATGTTCAGATTCCGCAGAGGCTGCACCACCAGCCGAGTCTCAACCCGACGAGGCTGCCCCAGAGACTAAAGAAGAGGGCAAGGATGAACCTGCCCCAGATACAGAGAACCCCGATGAGGCTTCCAAGGAGGCTCCCGTAGAAGATGCGAAACCGGAGGATGCGAAACATGACGACACTGCAGCACCCGAAGGCGAAGCAAAGCCCGAAGAGGAAGTAAAGCCTGAAGGTGAAGTGACGTCTGAAGGTGAGCCGAAGCCTGAAGAGGAAGCAAAGCCTGAAGAGGAAGCAAAGCCTGAAGAGGAAGCAAAGCCTGAAGAGGAAGCAAAGCCTGAAGAGGAAGCGAAGCCTGGAGAGGAAGCCAAGCCTGAAGAAGAAGCAAAACCTGAAGAGGAAGCGAAAACTGAAGAGGAAGCGAAACCTGAAGAGGAAGCGAAACCTGAAGACGACCCAAAGCCTGACGGTGAGCCAAAACCGGACGACGAATCAAAGCCCGAAGGCGACGCAGCACCTAATGGTAGTACGAAACCCGAAGAAGAATCGAAGCCCGAAGAAGAAACTAAGCCTGAAGAAGATTCAAAACCCGAAGATGCAAAAGATCCCCCAGCAGGCGAGAACACTAAAAAGGAAGGTGATAGCGGGAACAATGGTTAGTATCCAAACTTAGGTTACATCTCGCGAAGCTAACAGTAGTTAGATGAAGATTTTCCAGACTTTGATCTAGTTGTAGATCCCGAGGCAGTAGCAGCCGAGAAAGAGGCTGCTGCTAAAGCGGCCGCCGAAGACGCCCTAGAGGCTGCGGAGACTCCAGCAGAGCCAGAGCCAGCCGTGGAGGAGCCAAAGGTGGAGGAAAAGTCATTAGGCAAGAAGAAAAAGAAGAAGAAGGGCAAGGGCAAGGCAGCTGATCCAGAGCCAGAGCCAGCGCCAACGCCGGCGGAAGAGCCAACGCCAGAACCAGAGCCGGCAGCAGAGCCAGAGCCGGCCCCAACGCCGGAACCAGAAGCAGCGGGCGAAGCAGCACCAGAGCCTGAAGCTGAGCCCGAAGCTGAGCCTGAAAAGCCCGCAGATAATCCCCCTGAACCCCCAGCCCCGGAAGAACCAAAAGCACCAGAGCTACCCGCAGAGGAGCCAGAGCCAGAGGAGAAACCAACGGGTAAGGGCAAGAAGAAGAAGGGTAAGAAGAATAAGGCCGCTAAGGTAGCCGAACCAGTGCCGGAGCCTGCGCCGGAGCCTGCCGTCGAAGCAGCACCAGAACCTGAAGCAGCACCCGAGCCCACAGAGGCACCAGCAGCTGAACCTGAGCCTGCTCCACCTGCAGCCGAAGAAGAAAAGGTCCCCGAAGAACCTGTCAAGGAAGCCGAGCCGGAAGCTACGCCAGCTGACGAAACGCCGGCCGTCGAACCCGAAGCTGTTGCCGAGGATAAGGCGGAACCTGTAGAGCCTGAACCAGTTAAAGATGCCCCGGTGGAAGCGGAGGCTCCCGCCGAGGCTGTAACCGAGGAACCAGCTGCTGAGGTGTCACCTGAAGAAGCGCCAGTAGAAACTCCCGAAGAGGCTGCACCAGCTCCTGTTGAGGAGCCCGCCCCCGTCGAGGAGAGTGCTCCTCCTGCTGAGCCTACTCCTGAGCCTGCTGCTGAACCTGCCGCTGAACCCGTCGCTGAGCCCGTCGCTGAGCCTACGCCCGAACCTGCTGCTGAGCCTGCTGCTGAACCTGCTACTGAGCCTGTTGTTGAAGCTCCTGCCGAGCCTACTCCTGAACCTGCTGCCGAGCCTACTCCTGAACCTGTTGTTGAAGCTCCTGCCGAGCCTACTCCTGAGCCTGCTGCCGAACCTGCTGCTGAGCCTGTTGTTGAAGCTCCTGCCGAGCCTACTCCTGAACCTGCTGCCGAGTCTGCTGCTGAGCCTGCTGCCGAGCCTGCCGCCGAGCCTGCCGCTGAACCTGCCGCTGAACCTGTGGCAGAGCCTGTGGCAGAGCCCGTCGCTGAGCCCGTCGCTGAACCCGTGGCTGAACCCGTGGCTGAGCCTACGCCCGAACCTGCTGTTGAAGCTCCTGCCGAGCCTACTCCTGAACCTGCTGTCGAACCTGCTGCTGAACCTGCTGCTGAGCCCGTTGTTGAAGCTCCTGCCGAGCCTACTCCTGAGCCTGCTGCTGAACCTGCTGCGGAGCCTGTTGTTGAAGCTCCTGCCGAGCCTACTCCTGAACCTGCTGCTGAGCCCGTTGTTGAAGCTCCTGCCGAGCCTACTCCTGAGCCTGTTGTTGAAGCTCCTGCCGAGTCTACTCCTGAGCCTGTCGCTGAGCCTGTCGCTGAGCCTACTCCTGAGCCTGCTCCTGAACCTGTTGCTGAGCCCGTGGCCGAGCCTACGCCCGAACCCGCCGCTGAGCCTGCTCCCGAACCCGCTGCTGAGCCTGAACCTGCTCCTACCGCGGAGCCAGCGGCCGAGGAACCTGTACCCGCCCCAGTGGAAGAGACACTCGCAGAAGCTGTAGCAGAACCAGAAGTTGTGCCCGTTGAGGCACCAAGGGAGATTCCAGATGAAGCACCTGCTGATGAGCCAGTGCCCGAAGCACCAGCTCCTGTCGAAGCTGCCCCGGCTGAGCCGCTAGTTCCGGAAAGAGTCCCAGTTGAAACACCGGCAGAGGAGCCAACTCCTGAGCCGGAGGCTGCTAGAGACTTCCCCGTTGAAGACCTACCAGCAAAGCCAGAAGCTGCTCCCGAGCCAGTCCCCGTCCCTGCTAGCGATGAAGTGGCGCCCGACGAGCTCATACCGCCCCCAGCAGACGTCCTGCGTGAGGTGGAGATGATTGACATCGAGCCTGTCGGAGAAAGTGCCGAAGCCGCAGCCGCCCGCCACAGCTCCCGACGCCGCAGAAAGCGCACCTCACCGATCGAGGGAGAGCGCGAGCGTCGGGTTGATGGAGAACGAGAGCGTCGGCAGTCCAAGACATCTTCCGAAGGCCGCCGAGATCAACTCCAGCGCCAGAAAAGTGAGCGAGGAGGCATCATCGCCGGCCGGTGGGCCAAGGCACTGGAAGAAGCCCGACGCCAACACGATGAGAAATCCCAAATCCAACGAAGGCAGCGCGCTCTCGCCGAGGAGCGCGAGCGCAGCGGCATCCCTGCCCCCGAGAAACTAAAGCGCTCGAAGAGCTCGTCCAAGGATAAGGAGAGGGAGAGGACACGGGAGTTGGAAATGGAGCCCGAGGTTATCGAATCCAGATCCAAACGCCGTACCTCCGACACTCCCTCGGGCCAACCGATCGAACGATCCCGCTCAACTAGGACCTCGTCGAAGCCAGTGGCATCATCGGTGCCGACGCCCAGGCCCCGTGCCTTCCTGCGATACATGACAGAAGGCAAATCGGATACCAATGGGCCTTTACTGCGTCTAAATGCCACCAAGGCTGCACCACCAGTTGAATCGTCACGCCGGTCATCGGCAAGTCACAGCAGTGGCAGCCGTCACGATCGGACGGAGCATGAAGAGCGACACTCCAGTGGTCGGTCTAGTGGATCACGGTCGCGACGCGAAGAGGAGGCTCCTCGCAGTGAGCGTGTTGAACGCACTGAGAGTAGGAGATTGCGACGCTCGTCGACGGCTGAGCATGGTCGATCTCGCGAGGAGAGGAAGGAGAGAGAGAGGGGCAAAGATCGAGACCGGGAGCGTGAGCGTGAGCGCGAACGCGAACGGGGAATAGAGGGAGAGAAGGAGAGGGAGAAGAAGCCTGAGGGCTCCTCCCGACGTTCCAGGGAGTCCAGAGAGGTGCGCTCTCATCGTCGCCACAGGCGCGAGGAATCGCCTCCCCGAGAGGAGTCGAAACTGAAGGGTCTCTGGAGAGCCATTGCTGCCCATTGAGACTATAGAGAATTGCTTTTTTGCTTTCACTTTCAACCTTGTCTTTTTACTTTACCGGTGGTTTGTTGGACAGAATGACCTATATGTGACAGTATGAATTTGTGCTTCCAAAGTTGCATTGGCGAGCGAATCATTGCAGGAGTTCTTTTTTTTTAGCCAGATATGAATATGCATCAACTTGACAAGGATTTTGATTTCGATTCGCAGATTTCTCACTTATTTTGAGGCTATCTCAAGGCCATAGTAGTTAGTATCTTTGTCATGATCTATGAATTCAATGCAAGGCTGGTATATACACCAGTGGCATCAGTAAAGAGTAGAAAGTTGCCAACATGCAAAGCCCTAAAAGGAGACCAAATCAAGTCTCGCTCTTTGCCGGAATCACTCTAGAACACCACCCACACCAACTACGATACAAACCTTTTTCCTCTCTCTCAAGATAATTCCCCGTCTCCCTCTCATCCTCATACTCAACAACACAAGCCCCAACATTAACCCTTTTCTTAGACTTATGCTTAACAACACCACCCAACCCAATAACCTCCTGCCTGAAATACCCAGGCTCCTCATCATCATGACTATCCGTCGAGACCCCAGTCCCTTCATGACCAAACGACGGAGCTGCAGGACTCTGTTCAATACTACCAGTGTCACTCCCAGACCCCTCATCAGCCTCACAATCAACTTCAAGCTCAATCTCCTGCGCAGCAAGACAGCTCTCGCCACGTCCACACTTAACACCCTGACAACCTTCACCAATACCAGTTCCCAGCCCTCCGCCAAGATACGTGCTATAACGCGTGCGCCATGTCCAGACACGACGGTATGTAGTGTCACTACTGCGCAACGTCGTTCCGCACTGCGTGCATAGCCAAACAGCTTCCTCGCAATTACAAGGATTGCGCGCGAACGCAACTGCCGCGACGCTATTCTCGTCCCACGGGTCGGGGTGTTGATCTGAGGTTGGGCAGGAGAGGTGTGAGGATAGTGGCGCTGTTCCGCAGGATGCGCAGAGCCGACGGATACGGTTTTTAAGGGCTGGTTGGGACGGAGCTTTGATTGTGCAGTTCTGCAGTGAGATTAGCTCGGTCTTTGACAGGGGCGGATTCGACTTACTCGACATACAACCTTAGCGCAGCGTCGACATTCGCCTACCATGTCGCGCGCGCATTTGGCTACCTTCCCGCGGGTCATGCGGCTCTCGCCGGGACGGCTTAGTAGTCGTATTACTGATTTGACACTGTCTGGGAGGACGGAGCCGCTGTCTAGCATTTCTGCTAGGGTTTCGATGTATTCATTTTCGCATCGGAGAGTCTCTTTCACTAGTTGGTGACGGAAGGGTGCCAAGTTCACGTGGAATTGGCGACATGTGCTCGAGAGGGCGTATAGGGTATTTAGGTCGATGGCACGAGCTATTTCCTTGACGATGCTATGGAGTGGCGTGTCAGCTGGATTTGGTTCTTGTTTGCCGGCTGATAAACGAAAACATACGGGTAACAACTCAAAGCCGCGGAGAATCCATTCCGATTGGGGTTTAGGATGTCCTTCGTTTCATTCGGGAAAGTAGGCGATGCGGGTAACTCGGCCGGGTCCGAGATGGGGTCAACCATCGAAGGGTATGGCTTCTCCAAGAATGCCGATCCATCCGCAATTGCATCGTCGAGGTCGACAAACACCACCATGCTGCTCCATCAGCCTTTTCTCAAGATCAATTTCATCAGATAAGATCGGTATACCCCGTTGATAAGCTGGGGAACTGAATGATAGTGGGATGGATGGATTAACTGCCGCTCCGAAGACCGGTATTATGTAATCACCTTACTCCACCAGTGGAGGGGCATTTTGGGGCACTTTCACCTGTTCCACTTGTCTTTCACAAGGTCCGATGGTATGTGAGAATTAGACATGTCATATCCTTTCATCCATTTAACCTCGGCCAAAGGTACCGGGGAGTGTTGTCCTCAACTCCGGGGTATACATAGAAGCTCAACTCTTTGTTTCCTAATCGGGTAGGAGATGCTTCATAATTTCACAGCGCTAAGCCGAGGTTTCATTTCGGTACGGAGTAGGGAGTATACGGAGTAGATGTTGTATTTAGTCGAGCCTTCTTAGGGATAGCTCAAAAAAGTGAGCTCTACTCTGTACTCTGTATACAACACATGCAAAAGTAGGACGAACGGAGTACCTACCTAGGTACCTAGGTCGATATGAAATCTTAGGTAATTTTAAGGTTTACAGGGTTGGAGTCGACGGATAAATTCATTCCCCAATTTATGTGGGGGTTGATAAGTGTCTGATATCCCCCATATTCTCCAATCTCCATACTCCCCCCGCCATCTCCAAGTCATGCCTCTCAACGCCGACGCTGTATACTCCCGCTCAAATGCGGACTATGTCCCATTTGCCAGTCGACGGAGTACAGTTCACAGTACCAAGGGAATCATATCATGCACTCAACCTCTAGCTGCTGCTGCGGGTCATAAGATCCTGAGCCAGGGTGGAAATGCAGCGGTATGCACCTTGTGCCATTCTATGTCGCATTGAACTTCAACGATACTAACTTGGATAATCTTGTTTAGGATGCCGCTGTCGCCGTGGGTAAGCCTTGCCTCGAGTTGCATAACCACAGCAAACAATAAACTGATCTCATACTTCTACAGCCGCCGGACTTAACATGACCGAGCCCGGTTCCACGGGTATCGGAGGTGACATGTTCTGTCTCTTCTACAATGCCAAGACAAAGAAGGTGCATGCACTTAATGGCTCTGGTCGATATCCTGGTAAAGCCACTTTGGAGAAAGTCCGAAAGGACCTCGGTCTCGCCCCTGGTGAGACGGGCAAAATGCCCATGCTGAATGCTATATCTGTAACTACGCCTGGAGCAGCTGCGGGATGGGTTGATACAATTCAGAAATTTGGTAGCGGTTTGTTATCGCTCGAACAGATTCTTCAGCCTGCTATTGAGATGGGAGAGGAAGGGTTCCCTGTGTCGGAGCTTTCGTCTCAGGGTGTAAGTACTCGATTTTCAATCGCAATCGTACCGTGAGCTAACCTATCCATAGTGGAATGTTGGCGAGCAAACTATCCGCAATGCATCTCCTAATTTCCGTGAAATGTTGAAAGTCGACCAGTCAGCCAAAGATGGTGTGCGAGCTCCGCGTCCAGGCGAGATCATGAAGAATCCCACTCTAGCCAGTACCTTCCGCGCGCTCGCGGCCGACGGCAAGAACGGATTCTACAAGGGCCGGATCGCTGAAGCTATCGTCAAGGTGGTGCAAGATCAGGGTGGGTACATGTCACTCGAGGATCTAGCCTACCACGCCGAGATCGGGACGCAGGAAGTCGACCCGATCTCACTCAAGTTCACCGGCCAGGACATCGTCTCCAAAGCAACACCCGGCACAGATGGTGAAGCCAACCAGGGCATCGAGATCTGGGAGCACCCACCTAACGGCCAGGGCATCGTGGCGCTAATGGCACTCGGCATCATGGAGGAACTCGAGAAATCAGGCAAGATCCCCAAGTTCACCGAAGCCCAACATAACTCAGCCGAGTACCTACACGCCGTGATTGAGAGTCTGCGCATCGCGTTCGCCGACGCAGCCTGGTGGGTCACAGATCCAGACGTGGAGCGTGTGCCATCTCAAGGCCTACTCGACCGCGCATACCTCGCAGAGCGGGCGAAGCTGTTCACCCCCGAACGCGCAGCAGATATCATGGACCATGGCAGTCCGGCACACAACCACTGCGACACTGTATATTTCGCAGTGACAGATAGTGAGGGCAACGGCATTTCTTTCATCAACAGTAACTACGAAGGGTTCGGAACGGCCATCATCCCTGCTGGCTGTGGTTTCACGCTGCAGAACCGTGGTGCCAATTTCTCGCTGCAGGAAGGCCACCCCAATGTCCTGGCTCCGAACAAGCGACCATACCATACCATCATCCCTGCCCTTATTACTAATGTCTCGGATGGCTCCTTGCACTCCGTTTACGGTGTCATGGGTGGCTTCATGCAGCCACAGGGTCATGTCCAGGTTTTGCTCAATATGCTTGCCTTCGGATATCATCCCCAAGCAGCGCTTGATTCGCCTCGCTTCTGTCTGGCAGCGCCGACGAACGAGACTACTGACCGCACGGTGTTGGTTGAAGAGGGCATTAGTGATGCTGCTGTGGAGGGTCTGCGTCGCCTTGGTCACAAGATTGAGGTGTTAACTGGTTGGAAGCGGGCTATGTTTGGTCGTGGCCAGGTCATTCGCTCGTACTATGACGATGGGAAGCTGGTTTATGCTGCAGGCAGTGATCCTCGCGGCGATGGAATGGCGTTCCCTTTGCTGTAGAGGCATCGGGCAGATGGATATCAAAACTCTTTACAGACTATGTACATAGTCACAAGTAATCATAACTGGAAACCAGAAACCCAGGCTCTTTACTTCACTTTTTCTCCTTCTTTTCCTTTATTATCTTCATGGCTGCTTAGTACAACCATAAGTCTTGATGCAATCTTGGTCTTTACAATATAGACATGACATCACCTACACAACTTTCTCAGTATACAGCACGCCATCACGGCAATCGGTACACAATACTCCATCCTCCGCACTCCGCACTCCATAACAACACGATCCATGAAACCAACACCCAAAACAAACCGCACATCATCCCTAAGCAGGCAGGTGTAAAGCCTAAGGCCTTCAAGCCACATGACACCCACGAGAACCCCTGATCGACACGCCAGACTAACCGCGCCCCACAACCGAGCAACAGCTCTACAGAATAGTACTCGGTAGAGAGTCCTCCGTTCCGTACTCCGTACTCTGTCGAGAAATGATATTCGATATCTAACCAAAAGCGAACCAAAAAAGATCAATATCTAACCAAAAATAATCAGGAAAGATCAGCATATGAATGATAAATCACAAACCAATCCCGTTCCTACAAACGGTAGTTCCATAGACTGAATCCAGATCGCTCAAAACCCTATGAAAAGCGACCCGCGAATCCACTAATTCAAATTGTTTTTGCGCCCAAGTCTGGAACCTGTTTAGTGGGGAAAAGAAGGTGGAGAGAGGGCAGTCCGTTTACTACATGAAGAATAGCTTGCTCCGTATCCAGTTAAATCGGATTTCCGGGCGTCCGGGAATATGGTGGAGTTAGCCGAGTGCTTTTTTCTCCAAGAGTTGAGGACCGGCCGAGAAAGGTGGTTCATTTGGTTTTCTGGTCAGATATGGAATTTGTGGGTATGTTTTCAATTGTCACTGGGAGATAACGGAGATTTGATATTTGGATTGATATGTTTTCTTCCCTTGGGCAGCTGGACAACCTTGTTTTTTTCCTACTTACTAAGCAATATTTAATTGCTTTCCATGGAATCCATTTCCGTTCAAATCGGACGAATCGCTTATCTCGCTTGCCTGTAACGGTTAACCGAGCCATGGTACGGAGTAGATTAATTAAGTTGAACTTTACATTTGAACTTTACATTGGTAATATGAATTGAGACCTATACATTTGTAAAATGTTGGGGTATGGGAAAAAAAAGAAAATATGTACATTTAAATGGCCTGCAGGGGTATAGATGGTATAGATAATAGCAAGGAAAAAAAAAAAAAAAAAGACAATCATGATCGTGTCGTCGGGAATCGCACATAAAGAAACACATCAAACAAAGGAAAAAAAAAACAAACTCCAGTTCGGGCCTCGGACCAAAGAATCAACCGATATCGGGTGATCGCTTATTTCTGGTCTTTCTATTATTTGGAAGGTCGGGCGCGTGTTAGAAGCGACCGCAACCCGCTGGTGGATCCGGAGTCAAGGTGGTCACACTCCGGGAATGGAGACGGTGGAGATCTCTGCGAATGACGGTTGAGGCATTTGTAGGGAGTCGAGACAGTTAAGACAGTTGTGTAGCTCGGGATTCCCGTCCCTTGGACCCACATCTGTTTGTTGGAGTCCAAGGTTTTCCACTGGATCTTCGTTTGAGTTAAATGCTCGGTCGTGTGGTCATAAGATTTCTATGATCATTGTTTGACCAAGGAGCTTGGAGCTTTTCACATGCTCCAGGTAACGGGCTGGAACTGGTGCATGGAGTGGACCTGGTCCTCGTAGGGAAGGCAATCTGCGCTAGACCACGAAGGAGAAGGGTAGTGGCACTGGACGGGCTGGAAATATATTAGTTATTGGTCGTACCGAATAATCAAAGGACACTCACTGGTTGGATCATATTCTCCCCCATGGACATGGGAACTAGATGCGACGGAGGCATGCCAGCATCGGTATCCCAGCGGAGGGGAGTGTGTATCTGAAGCGGAGATGAAGTGACATCGCCCTTCAGGATATTCTTCGGGTACTGGTCGATGACAGACACAGACGCGGATGAGATGGAGGAACTAGAGTGGGGAGGGAGAGAGAAGGTCGCATCCGACAAAGGTGAGGGGCAGGTCTCAGCGGGCGAAGAGTAGAACGGGCTGTCGTCAACGGAGTCCGGGAGTTGGTTATGGAAGGCCGGGCGGGGCTGTAGGGGCAAGTCTACGCCGCTCCACATTAATGAGCAGTCGTTGGCCAGGTCTGGGTGAATGCCAGGTGCCACGAGTGAACCGATGGACATGGAGTGTGAATGGGAGGTTGCGGCCAATGGCATTCCGTCCATTGACATACAGCGTGGGACACCGGTATCGGTTACGATGGGCTTTTGGGTGTTGGATGCCCAGGACTGTTCTGGTTGCGATTCGAGTTCGCTACCATTATTGTTAGTATGCGCCATATTGTCAAAAAAAAAAAAAAAAAAGTCTCCATAGTACTCACTGTCTCTCCATGTGGCGCGCAAGTAGATCAGCGCGGTGGAATGCCTTTTTGCATCCTGGTGTTGAGCAGCGGTATGATGCCTCGGGGTTGTGGTTCAACTCATGGCGTCGTCGGTGCTCAGCCCTGGTGAAGACCTGCAGTGGAGTCAGTTTAATTAATTCGATAGGTGTATATGATTGCGCCGACCTTTCCACATCCTGGGTATTGGCAGGCATGCACGCGCTTTCCCTTCTTGGCCTTGCTAATGCGATGGGTGGTTGGTGTATAGGTGACGGGCATATCATCCTGAGAGCTCTGACGCATATTCTTCCGGCCCATGTTGGAAGCCATTTGAGGTTCCGGCGAAGAAGAGGAGGAGATGGAAGGCGAGTTCAAGACAGAGACGATGTGGTTTGGACTGCGTCCTGAGGATCCGCGGGCCATGATGTGTAAAGAGAAGTATATAAGAGATGAAATATATAAGGTATAGATAGGGTGGGTTTGAAATAAGCAAGAGAATCCTGAAGGAAGAGAAGAGACGAAAGAAGAGAGGAGGGTGGACTGATATAGAGGGAACGATATGCACACTAAAAGTGCTGTTCCTACAGATCTACGAGACGGATTAATAGACTTTGAGTAAATTGGAGGAAATTAATATATAAAAATATATAAAATAAAATATAAAATATAAAATAAATGAATTATCAAAATATGCTAATAATAATTCCAACAAAAATAAAATCCAACAGGCTAACTCAGGCTAACTAAGATCCAGGGAAAAATAGCACGGGCGTGGAGGCGATCGCGGGATGATCAGAGCATAAGCCGTACTAAATTTACACGACAGGGGGATTGCATTAGAGCCAACATGAGTGCGGCTGAGGCGCACTTTCCAGGCCGTCTTTTAAATGACCTATAAGAAACTGTTGGTTGTGTTGGTTCAAGATACTATTTTTGTTATTATCCCAGAATAGGTTATTACCATGAATTATCTTGTTTTTACTGTCCTTAAGTATATAGTGCTCTAAGCGGAAATTACATTCTAACCTCCGTCCCAATTAAGAAAAAAAAAATAAAAATTTTAAACTGAAAAGAAGGCCCTGATATTCCAAATCCCGCGTGGAGCTTTCACATCGCGAGTCCAAGCTCTCACGGAATGCAACGGGTTTGCCCCATCGGAAACCTAAGGTAAATACCGGTGGAAGGTGCGCTTCTAAGGCTGGTTTAGGCAACTCGCAGAATGGGAACGCTAGTCCGAATAGAGCAGTATGTAAGAGGCATGTAAGAGGCTACAGGGCTGCATACTGCGGAAGATTGTCTAAATTAGGGAATACAGACCAATTACTCCGTAGATATGGAGAAGATAGAGAATTTCTTTTGATTTTCTTTGTTAAAAAGAAACCTTGGTAAATGTTATGAAATGTTAGGATCTCGCGGGAGATCCGGTGGATCCAGGGATCCCAAAGCCTCAACCAAACTTGAAAGTCGATTAAACCGAATTAGACCTTCCACTAAACCCAAAAAGAGAAAGGGTCAAAAATTAATTATAAATAAATTGATAAAATAAAATAAAAAGATACGAGAGTCAGCCTAGGGTGCCTCCAGGGCTTGGCTGATCTTGGCATGTTTTCCGAGGTTTACACTCTTGTTTCAGTATGCCGATCCTCGACTCTTGGGGGGGTACCCCATCGCCCGGCCGACTCTCAAAACGTCAGTGTTCGTCCGGGGAAAACCACATGGTCGAACGGCTACTATATTTCTTACTGTACTATTGATTTACATTTATGGATATAGTATACGAATACCTTCCCGGGACATGGCTATGCACCCCGCGCCATGATTGCATAGCCGGAGAATACCTCCCCTGTCACCCTCGTGGCAGAGAAGCGGCAAATATTTCATTAGTACATCTATATACGCGGTAGCAAATTTTAACTTAATATACTTAGCTACTACTGCATCGCTAAAACACGCTATTTGCACTATCCCTTCCCCTATATCTCTAGAATTCAGCAACTCCCTAAAAGGTCCAAGGAACAATAAACTAAAATAACAAGCGGGTGTGCACATTACAATATATGCAGGGGACCTCGAAGGATCATTCAAGAGATGTCCCGTGCTGACGCCCGTCACTCGATTGTTTACCGCATAGGCAAATTACGAGTGGGTGGCTGTGGAGAGTTTGGAATCTATGCTTATACAAAATCCACCTACAATGTGTTGCAGATTATGAAGATCAATGTGAATCATGATCTGGACTCTGCAAGGCATTCTTGCAGGGATTTGAAACGCACTTTCCAATTGGATATAGCAAAACCAGAAACGGAAAGAGTCCAATATGCAGCGTGCGGGAACTGTTACAGCCTCTTCGCAGATTCCAAGTTTAGATACCATGCATGTTCTCTACTAACTAGACGACGTTTCGTCCATGATCGGCTGCTGCGGTTAGGGTCAGAGAGCGGGCTTAGCCTGGGGACAATGTAAAGCTTTTTATTTTTCGCATTTGCTCGGACCAATATAAAAATCGATCGTCATTTGCTATCACTGCCCTGTGGTG